TTTAATATATAAAATGCCTAGGAATTCTATATAATATCTGGTGGTTTTTAAAAAAGTGTATAGTAAATTTTTTTTTACACACATTTCCTAAATATTTTGTATAATAACTAGACATTTCATAAAATGACAAACAACAAATTGGCAATCTGTAGAATAGTGATATAATCCAAATAAATAAATTTCCTTCTATCATAATTAAGACAATTATTAATTTTATTAGCGCACAAAAAAATATTTATTACAAAGTAGGTATCATTAATATTACAGAATATAATGCATAAAAATGAAAAAATAAGAATTTGTAAATTGTATGGGTAGTACTAACATGCAGTTATTAATTATTATTACTATTATATTGTTCTATAAAATACAAAAATCTATGTAGAACGTATAGGTACTTATTAGGAATAAATACAATTTACTTTTTAAAATTTATTTTGAATTTCGTTAAGACAAAATAAATGTTACTAAAAGTATTCTATTATTACAAAAAAAAAACATTATATTTCATATGTTTAAGTTTATAAAAAGTTATTCAATTTATTTATTACAACACTGTAGGTTATAGGATGACATTTTGAATTGCAATGAAGATTACAGATTACTAATGGATTTATATATTGTCAAATATCAATAGGTACTGATTATATGGATTTAATATATTACCTATACATTGTTTGGCATTTCATATAATGTTTAGGTAATTTAAACAATTTTATAGATTGCCGGCTGTATTTGGTGTTATATAGAATTCCTAGACATTATATAAAATACCAATATTACACACATTGCCGCTAACATATATATGTTACGAGCAATGTGGAATACCGGACAATGTACACTACAAATTTTTTTTTAATCAACTAATAATATTTTTTATTATTATAACTTATTTATAGTATTGGTTTTTTTTTAAAACAATCATTACCTAATAATTTTATTCAAGTATCTTAATACAATAAACTATGAATTTTTTAAACACTGTGTATAAACTTATTTTTGTTACTTATCGTACTGCCTATTTAAAAATCAAATGTAGAAAAGCAGACAGACTATGTAATTCCAAGTGCCATGCTTCTAAATCTTGTTCAAATAAATAGGTAATAATAAAAATAAAAATATGATGATTCTTGTTAATCTTTTTTTGTTATTCCATCAAAATTCAAAATATTCGTAATATTATGGTTCATGAATAAAGTTGATAATGATTGTTTTTTAAAAAAAATCAATACTATAAAAAGTTAATGATTAGTAATAATAATAATAATAATAAAAAATAATATTAGGTAGTTGGTTACAAAAAATGTGTGGTGTACATTGCCCGTAACATATATAAACCGTGGGTTCATGAGCATAGGTTATTATAAACCAAGTTTATATTTTATAGCCTTATAAGTCAATGCTCGTATGTTGTGATTTAAAATGTACACATACACTTTTAAATGGGCATGTGATTGTGTCATATTAATAGTAAAAACAGTATTTATCACATTTATATTAACTTAGATTTTTTTATGATATTTAAATATTTTATAGTTTTACAATTACTTTTGTTCAATCATGGTTTGATTGAGAGTTGACACATTACGATTAATTTGATAATATTGTAAAATTTAACATAAGAATAATTAAATAAACTTTTAATGTTATTAAAATTTCAATAAATAATTGTTTTAATTTCATAAATCATTTAAGTTCTGCGAAAAGAATATTCTGAATTTCAGTTTTCGCCTTGGGGAGGCTATACATATGGACTATAGAGTATCCCGTCAGGTCATTAGCCGTAGAAAGGAATCCCCACCCGGATAAAAATTGATTTTTTGCGGTTTTACCTATAAACTAAAAAAATGATTAAAAATCGTGAAATTAATGAAAATAAAATATTGAAATGTCAACATTTTTAAAAATAAAAAAATGAATTTTTAACTTTTTTACCGAAAAATAAAAAAATATACGCATAATAAATTAATTATATTTTATATAATATACTAAATAAAAATTATATACATATATTCCTTGTCGTCGTCATTGTGAATTCAATAAAAAAAAAGCGGGTAAGCGGAAGTCACTCTGCTATACATGGTCATTTAAACTCATTTCTAACTCCCTTTATCTCCCAATCATATGTAGTTATGGAGCTTTATACTTAGAAAAAGGCTCTGTCTATCTCTCCTTTACTTACACTAGCTTTTTTCATGTCGTTATCTGTTGTCCAGTTACATAAGATCCAATGAGACAACGTCTATTCGCTTAGAATACGGATTACAGAAAAATAATTTGCTAATTTTTTGTTATAGTATTCTAGCAGCAGGTTTTACACAGCGTAGTGCGTCAATTTAGTTAGCATCCAATTATTACCGTATACACAAAAAAAAATTGAATAAGATGGACATCTTAACTCAAAACCAGTTTTGACCTAATCGGTTTTATTTTAGATTCCAAGCGGAGCGATGGACGTATTGATTTTACAATGTGTGGTTTTTTATATTTTTTTTTGTCCGTCATCACAGTTTGGGGCAGTAAAAAAGGCCTTCGATTTTCTTCAACAGCAACTTTTCTGGTAGGAAAAGGAATCTTATTTTTGAAAGTTAATGAAAAAAATTAGAACAATTTTTATGAATTCCTAACTCAAAATGATTTCCTAATTTTCATGATTTTTACGAATTTGGTCAAAATTCTAATTTCAAAAGCTCCTAAAAAATTATTGTGGATAACACTCCACTTTTTTTTAAATTTACTTAAACATCAACTTACGAGGAACATAGTAATATATTTTCAAGGTCTTCGACACAGCGAAACATTTTTTATCGACATTAGCTTAAAAATAACAAATAACAATCAAACATTTCATGTGCCTATAAATACTTCAACACGAGTAACATTTTGATAATCTTATGTTTGATGTATAGAAAATGTTATTACAAACATTTAATGAAAATTTCATATATCTATGGTCATTTTTTTTAGCGGTACACTGAAAACCAAAATAGATTTTTATTTGTTTTCCTGTCACTTATGAAAACTTTTGGGAATTTTTTAATTTTGACCTCCCGAATACACTAATAAGATTCCCTTTCCTGCCAGAAAATTTGCTGTTAAAGAAATCGAAGCACTTTTACTGTCCCAAACTGTGATGACACACAAAAGAATATAAAAAAAACACACATAATTGTAAAATCAATACACTCCGCTCAGAATATAAAACAAAACCAATTGGGTCAAAACTGGTCATGCGTTTAGATGCCAGTGGTGGTGGTGAGGGGAAGGGGGGTAGTTCTATTTGTATTTAGTACTATATTAGTTCATGTTGGACAGTGATTCCAATATTGTAATTTTACATTAACAAAAAATTGTCAGCCCTCCCAAATCTTTGCTCTGGATCCGTGCCTGTGTACAACCCGTGGCTTCTTTATTCATAGAATATTATGAACCAAAAAAATACCAAATTATTTGTCTGTAATCCGTATTCTAAGTGAATCGATGTTGTCTCATTGGTTCGTATGTAACTGAATAGAATAAATAATCAATAATGACATGAGAATAGCTAGTGTAAGTAAAGCAGAGATAGACAGAGCATTTTTTTAAGTACAAAGGTGACCAACCATATGGTTGGGAGATAAAGGGAGTGAGAAATGAGTTTAAATGACCATCACGTATTTTTATACAAAGTATTAATACCTAATTTAGTAAGTAATTTTGTTCGTTGTCCAACTACATAAGTGTTTTGCCAATTGACATTAGTTAGTATAGTGCGAATAAGTTATCGAATTTTAATTTCATAGACAGTATTTTGACAGTGACCACAAAAGGAATATTTTTACATTTTAGAGACACAATACTTTCGACGATCGGCGTTCTCATAACTTTATTTAGATATAATAAAATGTCTCAAATTAATAAAAAAAAACACTTACTATTATCAAGTAGTTACCAATATTATGTTTTCAGTGTTCCTGGGCATAAACGTTTTAGGCTAAAATCATATATCATTTTTTGAATGATAAATCATTGAATAGGTATGATTAAAAAACGATTCTAAGCAGAGGCTGTCAACCAGATAACGTATATTTCTAACTTTCAGAGTGATATTTACTATATTTTTATATTGTTATTACTAAATTGTTTTCTATTAGTACGTAAAACAAATTTTTGTCAAAACAAATCGTATATTTATTTATTTATTATAATTATAAACGGCCAAATAGACGATTTTATAAAAAAAAATTACATCAAGGTACAGTGAAACATTATATTCTCAACAGATTTAATAAATTCATTAATGGCTAAAGGAAAAAAAATAATACAAGCTAAGTTATTATTATAATTCACAAGACGTATCATCCTTTGAAGTAGGTGATTTTGTCCATAAGATGTGGGGTGTGTAGAAATGAGGAATAAAGAATGGTCTCTGGTGTAGTAAGTTGGGACACTCAATGTGATATTTGAAAAAATATCAGGTACATCCAAGGTGTCATCTGGAAGAGAGGTAAGAAAGCAACGATCGACTTCGGTACGACACGAGGGCACTTTTGAGATGTTGAAAGAGTTTCGGATTAGGCTGAAGTCATGCTGAGCCCAGTTGAGAGTGAGCCATCCTTAGCAAACGCGATAGATATAAAAGAAACTTATTTTTTACTCTCTCGATATGTAGATGATCCTTAGCCAAGTATGGGTGCCAGATCATCATATCGCACTCAAGGACGGATCGGACCAGTGCAAAGAAGAGAGAGCGATAGATTTGTTGTTTGGGTGAGCTCAGAAAGTAGGGAATATAGAAGATGTCAAAATTCCGATATTGCATGTATGTAATACATAGACACAGGAAATTTCTCCCAATCCTTTGAATATATTAGCAAACCACTAACCAGCGTGTTACAACTTATAACTATAATACTGTGGGTAATCACTTTTATATGCTAATATTTTTAAACTTATCTCGTTAAAGATAACCCATAGTATTTTGAATCAAACTCGGGAGGCGCGTTTTCATCTTGTCTCATCATTAACAGATGGCGTTGCACTGAAGACCACGGCAGCTTGACTCGGAGACTGGTCAGTAACAGAATCCGTTGTGACTCTCCAGTGGTACCATCAATTTGCAATGTCAACAAATATAATATCGTCTCACTGATGCTGCACGACGCACCCTGTAAGCAGTTGTTGTCCACGGATGCTGCACGACGCACCTTGTAAGCAGTTGCTACTTGCTGTTCTACCGACAAGGTGGTAACGTATCTTAGGGATTTTTGCGTTTTTGTCGTTCCGACGAAAAAATTTCTACCACTCGCCAATAGTGTTTCTTACGGCAGCCGGTTGGTCCATTTAATCTCATCGGCATCACAGTGACTCTGACAACATATTTAAGAGCCTATCCCGACATTAGTAAGAACGTGATTTGTTAAAATGAACAACGCTCATCTAGTATCCTCATTGCCGGACAAGTCGAAACGGTATTCCTCCAGTTCAAACGTCATGCGAGAACTGCTGTCGCACGGTATGCAATCTCACGAACAGCACGATTTTCAACTGAAACTGTGGGATGGAGTGATGGAAGCCATTTCAATTTCCAAACAACTTTCATTCTTGTACGTCTGTTCCTACAACAACCAGCAATCCGATTCCGATGAACTGTTCAGGGCTTTTGACAAATCAAGTAATACATTTATTATTATTTTGCAGTGGCTAAGCTTGGGTTCGGGATTAGGGTAGACAAATTTAAAATAATATTTTTCAGAAAGAAATTATTTAAGCGACAAAAAAATTTAAACGGAAAACAACAACTAAATAGTTTAAAATATGTTTAAAACATTCATCAATTATAATATAAAATATGAATTATTATAAATACACTGCTATTAAAATTAAATACGTATTATACTATTATTATTATTGCTCACTATATAGATACGAATAAGAAAAGTACATTATTATATTATATCCGATGGCGCGGTGCGACAATCGCGACGGCGACGTCGATAATAAATATTGAGAATTGAGGTAATTACGAACGGCGAGACGTGTCTCATAGCGAACATAGTAAACCCCACTCTGATTAACATTCCCTCTGTACCCGCGAGCCCATATTTGTGAGACGTTGCGTCGCAACGTCTATTAGATAATACAGTGAGTTCCGCTTAATGTGATCACTGGTTTATAGAATCAACCGTTTATTAGAATCAAAAATGAAAATCCCAAACCAAATTGTATGTTACTAATGTTAAATTTGTTATATTGGAGCATAGTACGTAGTTTTATTAGAGTAATATGATATGTATACTGGCGTACGTGACTACGGGAACGGACGCTCGAGCTGGAATCTGCTTATCCAGCAATTCCTACCCTGGTCGTTGCACAGAGGGCTCCATGGTAACGGCCGCCCAGTAAGTCGTAGAGTTATACGCACTCATGCAGAACCTCACTTGTTATACAGAAAATCAATGTAATAAGTCTAGAGTAATTATGCATTTAAGATACAGTACATTGTAGTTTTCGTAATAATAAACACATATTTTAGTAATTTAATAAGTGCCTTTGCGTATATTCTTTCAAAATACGTCCTTGCTCTCTTCACTAAGAATAACAACGTGCCGGTACACATCAATTGACCTTTTATTAGAATCACTAAGTATCGGATAATTGAATCACTTTTATGAACAATCTTAACGTTTTTATGGTATTTCAAACTGATTAATTTATAAAACCCATTTTATTTTTAAACTTATTAGTATGACAGTATATCGTTGTACTGTATCGTTGTATGTTATTCAATTATCTTTGTACGTCGTGTACTTGTGTCATTTATTATGTATGTCACATTAAATATGTAAATATAAAATAAATATGTAATTGTATAAAAAGATTGAATCATGAAAAAAATGTTGTAAATGTTTTATAGAATCAACCGGTTAATAGAATCAAAATAACCTGAACCGAAGTGATCCCACTGTATAATACCATATTTGGTATGACCCTTATCGCCAGCTCGTACGCACGGCCGTATTGCGCGCTTCTAATCTATTTTAAAAAATCCATAACAGTACAACACGTCAACACTACAACGAAAAACCGATTTTAACAAAATACTGAAACATATACATCATATATTTTATAATATTAAATAAAATAAAATATTTATTTGTTTGTCCCGTGTTCTCATTTCTAAGTGGGGAGACGTTGTCTCCTATGACGCTTCGCCACTGTTATTTTGTACGTTGTTTGGTAACGAACATCGCGGTGGTCTCAACGTCGGGGACGCTTGCCCATTTTCCATTTTACGTCATATAATTCGTTATATATTTCTTGTGAGAGTATTATTAGTATTAGGTACAAATGGTAAAATATTGAACATTTTTGGACAAAAAAAAAACAAATTATATTATTAATATGTTCCTACTCGTTATTATGCATATCCACGTTGGAGCCCGAGGTTATTTCTCTTAAAGCGTACGCTATAGTCGTTGATACACACTACCCGGACAATTGCCGATATGGAAGTCTTTAGAAGCTATCAGTGTCAAATGTATTCCCTTAAGAGGACGTCACGCCCACATGTGTTATCTCCGTCTTACAAACGCGTAACATATAAAATTTGCACTAGGCAGTTCACATTTTATGCCGTGAGCTTAAAAACGAGAGTGAATTGACCTATTATGAAACTTGATGGTAAGAACTTAATCTGTGTTTTTTTGGAAGTTTTTTTGCGATACTTCAGTTTTTAAGTGAGGTATGCTTGTATAATAAATGTAAATGAAAAAAGCTCATAACTCACTTAAAAACTGAATTATTGTAAAAAAACTTCCAACAAATCACAGGTAAAGTTCTTACCATCAAGTTTCATAATAGGTCGATTCACTCAAATTGTTAAGCTCACGGCATAAAATGTGAATTGCTGAGCGTAAATTTGGTATGTTACGCGTTTGTAAGACGGAGACAACACTTGCGAGTGTGGCGTCCTCTTAAGAGAATACTACTCGGAAACTTGTTGTCGCCGTCTTACAAGAGCGCTGCATAATATGTCAGTGTATTACACTAGTAATATTACACTTGTATTACAATAGTCCGGAGTGAAACGTCGTCTTAGGTGGCTCTTAGTGACTATAAGTGATTTTTGTTTAAGGGGCATCATTTATGCAATTTATAATCTTGTTGTCACCGCCCGCTGTTAATGGATTAATTCTAACTTTTAAATAATTTAATAGTGAGTGTGGATTCCTTATCGCCTGGTTGCAAATGGACTTTATAACACACCTACACTCATACACAAGTTATGGTAGGCACACTCAAAAATATTTTTCTACTTACTCGGGTACGCAATAATGAATAACGCCAATCAGTTTTCGAAAAATAATCATACTTCTAATTTTAATTTTTAAAAATTTTGAATTTATTTGAATTGGATAGCTGCTTCTATTCTATGTAGGAGATAGGTTTTTGATATTTTTAAACGTTTAAGTACTACAGTTCCAAATGAATTAACTGAATCTCTCAAAATTAATATGTAGCTTAAAGTTCCAATGAGAGAAACAAATTAAAAAGTTTTTTCTATAAAACATGGAAAAGAGACTTTTAGGTCTAAATGCACGAAAAATCCAATCATTTAGAGTCACCTTAAGGGAATTTCCTTTTTTTCATTCTTTCTTTTATTAAATACTAAATAGAAACTGTGTAGTTCTAATCTAATGAAAAATAAAAAAAATGATAGTATCATTGACCTAACAACCTATATTTTTGTCACATTTTAATTTAAATTATTTTAAAATGAATTACTATCAAAAGATAGGCATACTAAAAATGAAAACTATACTTTAATAATTTTCTTCACTTTTTTATTTGAAACATTGTAGTGATTATTGTATTGAAATCAATAATTTATAGCTACTGAGCTTTAAATGCTTAATATTACAAAGTTAATAGGTTTTCTTCAGTCATTGTCGAGCAAAGGCAAGTCATAAAAAGCTTAAGTTACCGTGTACTTGTGCTTGTATATATTATTTAGTATTTTAGTATCAATACAAGCATATATTTTTTCAACCCATTTACCAATAAATTATGTACATACTGTTAAATAATAAGTAGTAATATTATACTAGATTAATTTATGATAATGTACTTATTAAAAAAATAATCACCTCATGGTTCAATGCAGGTATATAAAAATATAGTGACATCCCGCAAAATTAAATGAAAATATAATATTCCTAGAAGTTAAAAAAACCATTACACATAATATAACAATATAAGTGTTTGTTTTTTAATATTTCTAATTTTATCTTTTATAAAAGAATTAACACCATGTGTCCATGTCATTATAAAGATATCATAAAGATTTGACAAATATTACATTTATTATATTATTATTAATATTTAATTAGTATAATAGTGCACATTTGTGTGTTGATACTTGATCATATCAATGGCTCCAAATTAAATTGAAACAGGCAGTTCAAATACTTTGATTGACCCACCCACGCTTTGTAAATAACCACCCATCAGGAAATTGAAGGAATGGATTCCTTAAAACTATTTAAATACAGTTTTGTGCAGCTTTATGCATAAATTAAAATAAATAAGGCTTAGTGGAAATTTGATTGTATTAAGTGATGATAAAAATATATTTTATACATTTATTTGCTTTAAATATAATAGAAACTTATAAATATAAAAAATTACAATTTATGTATATACATATTATGTATAGGTAATATAATTAATAATTAACACACCAGGCACAATGTCACCTTGACACAAGAACAACAAGAAGAAAAAAGATGGGACCCAACGCATCACATCTTAGTTATCACATTATCACATTTAACCAAAAATCAACCAGGATGTTGTGTATCACAGATCATAACACTAGAAACACAAGGAATCTTAGGGTGTGCATACGGAATTCCCCTTTGGGAATCCTCAGACTCTCTTAATCAAATCTGATTTCCTCAACTTTAAATTACTAGATGTGACTCCAGAAAATGAATTAATGGGGAGTCCTTGTATAGTCCTAGTTAGAATGCAAATATAATATAATTTATAATTTTGTAAAATTAATACATTATATTAAGTGATATAGTCCAAATCTTACAACAATTAATCCTGAATACATCCTACATTCCTGCTTATAACATAACTAAGTATATAATATATATTTTGTAGTATAAGTTATAATAATTACAAACACATTCACTATATAATATTATATCAAAAAAAAATGTATTTTATAATTCTTTATTTACAGTCAATATTGACTGTATATAATTATAAACATGCAAAACTTAATAAGAAAAACCAATACTTTTATAAAAAAACAATTGATTTTTCCATTTGTTGTACTGTATAGTAAGCAGTAACAAATATTTAAATATTTAAAAATTAAAAACTAGTCTTTATAGTGAACAATGATACATAACAAATATTTTAGCTGCATTTTAGTCTTAACTATAAATTTAATAATAATAAACAAATTCTTATACAAATTACAAAAACACTTTAACAGTTTCAAAATTAATAATATACATATATAAATAAAATAAAATAAGAATATTTCTTTTTTATTATATTTATGGTAGGTAATAGTGCAGATGTAGGTTTAAGACGGTTTACTGAATGACTGAAAGGTGTAACTGGTGGCTTTCTTAGTTTTTTCATCTGAAAAGTGTTTGTAACGACTATGACCAACATCCAAAATTTAAAAATACTTTATAATTTGTTAATTTTTAGTGATAAATTCAAACAATTGAGAGTTTTTAAATAACCACAAATAAGTTAGTAATAGTAATACAGCAGACTTCTCATTGCATACTTTTTTTGAATTGTTTTTGATGGTTTTCTACCAGTGAAGGAAATTAATACACCTATTTTGTTAAATAAATTATCTAAAAATAACTTTATAAATGTACTGACGTCCAGCCCTCTAAGACTGCTGATTGCTTGTAATAATATGGTACTAGTATAAAATTAATTGTATATAATAAAACAATTATTACAATTGTTTAGTATCATATACACATACATATATAAACCTGTTTTAAAATTAATACAATTCAATTTTAATGTTTAATATAATTTAAGAGTAACTGTATTTGTTTTTAAATACATTTTTTCGTATCAATTTGTCTTTAAATTCAATATTAGTTACTAACATTTTGATGTCAACAATGTTTTTTCCTTAACAAAATTTGGATGAAATGAAATACTTTATACTATAGGTGTATTATAATGATTGAAATAAACATAGTATTATAGTTTTCTTAGTAGTTTTACCATTTAATTTTCTAAAAAAATTATTGAGTTGTATAGAAAAATGCTAATATAAACATTTGTGAAAATTTTAAGTCTGTATTGTTATTTATTTATGAGTTAAAACAAAAAATTAAAATCAATTTTGTTAAATACTTATTTTGAATAGAAGTTAACTTTTTGGTTTTTTAAAATATATCTCTCAGGTCTTTAGGAGTTTTTACTTTGGCCCCCATAGTACGAAATATATTCAATTTGCTATTAGAAACCACCTTCCAAGTGTAAAATCGAATTTTTTTTGTGTAATGTAGCATAGGCATCTATGCTCTACTAGAGCTTATAATTTGGGAGCTAAAAGTGTCAAAAAAAGAATTCTGAGATTCTTCAGATACAAAAATAAAAAACATCTGTTAAAATCAGTACATACATCGCTTGGCTCAAAATATGAAATGTAAATAAGTTTTATTTCTAACTAAAAATATTTTTTAAAAAAATTGAATTCATCTAAATTATGAAAAATTGAGTTTGAGTATTCTTGATAATTCACATTAAAAAGTAGTTTATTATTTAGAATATGCTAAATATAATTACCCATTTGATACCACTTCTAATACATTGACATTTTCTTTAATTATTACATTAGTATGTAAATAAGTAAAAGAAAAATAATCAAACCTTGTATTTATTTTAGAAATAAATTAAATTAATGTAAACATTTCTACGTTTAAATGTTACAGAGAAGAAGGTCCATCTCTTTTTAGAAAAATTTCTAAATTCTTTTATCTCAAACGAATATGACGATGATCAAAATAAGTCATCAAATATTGAAACACATGACCAAACACAAGTATCTCAAGGTAACTATATAATTTATTATAATGATTATTAAATTATTAATACAGGTACACAATTTTTATTTTTATTTATTTATTTATATTTATCAATTACTACAAAAGAGATTCAATTGATTATTGTTTCCAAAATAATAAAAAATGGTGTGGGTACTTCAATATCAACAATAAGAATATTTTGCATCATTCGGGCATAGTAAATAACTAGTGGAGGTATAATAATATTCTTTATTAATTGTTAAGTATATTAATTTAATTAAATATTTGATTTAATGTTTTTTTAAATAAATTAAAATTATGCAAATATCTACTTTTTATCTTAAGAAGACGTTATACCTGCATGTGTTGTATCACATTTTACTTTCAGCAAATTACGTTTAGCTCTGTTAACTTAAAAATTAGAGCGAATTGACCTCCTAAGATTATTATGGAGGGCTTCTCATGTGCTTTGTATTATACTTTAATTTTAAAGAGAGTTATGAGTACAAACAATTTACAATTTTAAAATACTCATAACTCTCTTTAAAATTAAAATATAACAATAAGAAGCCCTAATTAATAATCTTAACTTTAATTTCAATAAGAGGTCAATTCTCTCTAATTTTTAAGCCAACAGAGATAAACATAATCTGCTGAAAGTAAAATGTGATATGTTACGCTCTTGTAAGATGGAGACAACACATGCGGGTATAACGTCCTCTTAATGTAGTTTTTGAGAAACCTATATTTTAGTTGTTTAGCGTGTAATTTATGATCACAAGAGTTAACTGAATAACAAGGAATCTTAAGTACTTATTTAGGTACATATTTTATATAGTTTACAGTTACTGAGCATCATGAACTATTTATTTTATTTTATTTTAAATTTTATTGTGCTCAATATTACCTGTGACTTGGAGAATTTATTCTTCTTTTTACTAGTTTAACAGGGCAATCCATTGTTTTTATCAACTATACATCAGACTTTTAAGCTTCAAGATAAGGTACCGTTGTCCGTTACATAATATGTCTATTAAACATACTAAACAAAGTATACGCAAGCTCAGTAGCGAACTATAGCCTAAACATTTGGCGGTCAATTTTCTTATGAAGTAGTACGATGGAGCTTTACCCTCCCCTAATTCATTGCCTATTATCATTGTAAAAATAATAAACAACACATTTTCAAATAAATCTTCCTCTCGTTACTCATTCAATATTCCCATAAAAAGTATTTTTCGAGCTATTTATAGCCATGAGACATTTTTAAAATTGTACAAATTATTTTTCAGCTAGAAATGCATAAAAGATTTTTTTTCATAGCTGACATTAAACATTTTAATAAAATATTCTAAACAAGTTTTTCTACCTTCATTAAAAATAAGTTCATCAGAAGTTACTTTATTTATAGCCAATGGATATTTTCGATTTTTATTAAATTTTTTTTGAATTTTGATTATTAAATTTAATTATTTATACAAGTATGCTAGGATGATACAACATCTTCGCACAGAATCGTTTTTTGTATGCAATAATTTGTCATCGAATTCAAAAGTAACATCCATTACAATGACATGATCGACAATAATTACTGTACAACAGAGTGGTACCCACTTGCCCACTTTTTTTAAAAAATAAGTTTTAACATTTTTTTTAGAAAAAATTGCTCATTATGAATGGAATTCGAGGTCATCTGATAGACCGTTGACAGCTGAGTCGAAAAAATGCGTTCCAAAAAAACCACGATCTCCGTCAAGATCTCGTTCTCGAGAATTTATGGAACCGTCTGAAAACAAACTACGACCAAACACTAGAATAAGGTATCCACTTGAAACAGAATTTCGGTCAAAATCTAGAAAGTTCATCAGATCTCCGTCTAATTCTCGTATTACAACAAAATCTAGAAATGTTAACTGGCCTTCTCCTAATTCGCTTATTCCGATACAGTGCGAAGTAAGAAATAGGTCGCGATCTAAATCTCAAGATCGACATGAACTTGATACTAAAAGTATGCATACGCCTGTAAAAAAATATCGGTCACTGTCCGGACATTTAAATAGGTCTCCGTCTAATGATCGTATTCAAATACAACAAGGAAGAAGAAATAGATCGCGGTCTAGATCATACAATGGACAACAATTTGATTCTAAAAGTACAAAATCAACTAAAAAAAGACAGCCAAGAATTAGAGAAAGGTTTCAATATAGATCATCAGATCAGAGAAAACATGCAACAAAAAATCAGTCTTTATCTAAATCAAAACAATATTCTTCATCTAGTTCCTCGAAAAAAATTGAAAGACCACAAAATAAATCGCAGGGTTCATTACAAAAATCAAAAAAATCAAAATCTTCACCGCTCACAGAGGTAAAATTTACCTATAATTAAAGTCCGGATTTAATTGTATTGAAAACACACACAAATTCCATATTAAAATTGTATGATTGCACCAAAAAATAAGTAAGAATTGCATAATAAATTGCATTACAAAAATTAAAGTTATATAAAAAAATTAGATAAATGTTATTTTTTTTTAGTTAAAATTGATAATTAGATCCGTTTCCAAAATATTATGTTAATTAAAATTAAATCTTCTATTACTTAAAATATGTTTGTACAAATAAAAACTACGTTTTACGTCTACACTGGTTAGGTATTGGTGCATATTTAAAACAATTCAATAAGGTAGGCGTTATATCTAAATAAAATTAACATCTTTTTTTACCTGATATGACTTCACTATCATAATAAGATTTAATAGTTCTATAGCATTCATTTTTTTCATTTTATACATAAATTTGTCTTTATTTTTTTTCCATCTGGACCAGAAATATTTGTTAAAATAACTTTAATTTTTCTAAACATATTCATACTTTCAAATAGTTCACTGTTCAATGTTTCCAAGTTTTTAGATTAATGGATAACTCGGATAAGATTTTATAAACGCTAAATCACATTTCAATGTATTATTTTGAATAAGCTGTATCGGCTTTACCACACTGATAGCATCAACTTTTATATTTTCAAAATTATTTGCATAGAAAAGTGCTGCATTTGACCATATTCCTTGCTTTGTAATTGTAATAATAGGTTCGGGAGGTAATGCAAGAGTATATACCTAACATACGATAAACGCACTGGTGGCTACGCCGACCGGCTTTTATGGCGAGCATTCTTGTAAACTAAAATTATCCATATCGGATAATAGGTACCGACGATAATACAATTATGTATTTGTTACGGGTAAAGTACAAATTAACAGGTATTAACATTAGTGTTCACATTATCCGGGTAATGTGTACACCACCTGTACCTATTGGATAAAGTAAAAATACTATTTATAAAACGTTTATTGGGTGTAGCCCATAAGCGCAAAACGCAACCCAAATGCAACCCAAAAGCGCAAAAAAAATTACCTTTTTAATAACCCATAAGCGCAAATAAATTTTATAAAAAAAGTGTACCTATTTAATTAAAATCGTAGTTATTATTAATATTAAATTAAGCATTTACAGTGTCACAGTGATATTAAAATTGGAAATAAAAAATAAAATAAAAATAGTAAAAATAAAAAATATAATGTTGAGTATTATTTAAATTAAATTTGAAATTTGAAGCCCACTGTCATCAAATATTCCAATCAGGAAATTTTTTTTTCATTATACATGGTCCAGGTTTTTGTATTGTAGATGGCTTTAGATTTGCGATTCGTAGTTTTTCGACCATTTGACTGTATAGACTGTAAGACACAGACAAATGCAACAACCGTCACGACGCGTTGCTGCAATATGTCGTGAAACGGGTTATACACATGCAAAGCATAGAGCGTCAAGCATTGGGTCAGTAAAATATTGTATCGGGTTATACAATTTATTTTTGCGCTTTTATCCCACTACCGAGGTACAAAGCACAAATTCATTTTACGCTTTTGAGTTATGGAAAAAAAAGGTCGATTTGCGCTTACGGGCTTCACCGCGTTTATTTCGTACTTTACTCGGGTATTTTACACATTATCTACGATTGAGTGGGTAAAGTACTGTGGCGACTCTTGCCACAATACTTTTCTTCCGTTGACCCCCATGCGACAGTTGGCACTCGACCTCACGCCGACCGGTAAGCCGCGTCTCACAACGACGCGCGACTTGCCGCCATCGGTCCGACACTCGACCTCTTTTCTCGCCCGACCGGCGGACTCAACGTTTCTGATCCGTGCACGTTCCCTTGCCTGCAGTCCCTCCGTCTCTCCGACTCGCTCGTCACCGAACGTCGACGACTTGCACTGGCAACAGCGACCGCGATCACGAACCGTCAACGACGGCCGCGAGACTTACATAAGTCATCCTACGTCTCTCTCGATCACCTCTATCTCGTCTTTCACCACGCGAAACCAACCTCACTACGTGCCGCTGTCGCCGACCTATTTGTGCCCACGTTACGATAAATGCTTAATAAATACGTTTTCTATTTACCCTGTTCTAATAAATAATTGTATTTCGCTTTTAAATTTTAATTAAGTAAATAGTAAAATTGTTCAAATATATAATTTATAGTTTAATAGTAATAATAATAAATAATTTTTTTTTGAATTAGTATAATTTGGTTTTTGCTACTAGAAAGATTTTGTATAATCTGTACCATTTTAAGTGTTTGATGCGTTGGTCATGTTGTACCGAAGTTATAAGTTTACGATTATAGTTATATGAATACATTATCCACAGGACACCGGATATTGTATAAATTGATTGGATACTACATTACTACACATTTAAGGTGGATAATGTATACATTACAGTCATTACACTGTTCGTATGGATAAGGTTCACATTACCCGAGTAATATGTACACTAACCGTTTTTGTACTTCACCCGTAACATATATATTATATTGATTATGACTCTTAATAATGGCTTTATGGTACAACTATGGATGATTTACTCACAACTAAGACTCGTTATGTAATTGTAGCGTTTTTATACAATAATTTTAGCTGAGTTAAATATCTTGTTAATTTAAGCACACAAAATTGTAAAAATTGCAAAAACGTGGAAAATTGCAAAAAATTGCTTTATAAAATTGAATAGGCATAACACATAAAGTATAGATCGACTATATACATAATGATCAGATTTTGTTTATCTTAACTCCCAGAAAAGTTGCAATATAAATTAAATCCGGTCTTTACCTAAAATATATTAGTATATTAATAGTTTAATTAAAATATATGAATTTATACATTTTTTTAAAAATGTATTTATAAAATGTGATTGTGTCCATTTCAACAGCAGTTTGCATCTTCATCGGGTACTTCACAACTTAATGAGGTAATTGTATACAGTAAACATATTATTTAAGTACCCACAGGCCTAAATTCAAGTTATAAATGCTTGTTTAAATATATTAGTAGAGTTTAATGACATTTATCTTTAAATGTTCTGTTTCAAATTAAATTCTTTATTATCGAGTAATATTCTTACCTAAGAGTTCTGAGATAAGACAAGAGACGCATGACGATTTAGATTTCTAATAAATAAACTGAAATGTATGTGTCTAAACAATCATAAGTTCATTTTTGAAATGAAACTTCTTTAGCACGAAGTTAGATTCATGGGCTCAGGCACTCAGCCGCCAAAAGCGCTGGCCGGTCATCCTTGTTCCTCCTAGCGCGGTAAATAAATGCCGAAGCCTGTAAATTGGGAGAATTGACCGGCCAGAAAAAAAAGGTTATTGTTTACCACAATCTAACTCTATATAAAAAAACCCGAATTGTAAACGCAATGGTAATAAATAAGAAGTCTGGACAAGTTAATGATAATTTTTAAGTTAAGTTTATGTAAAACATTTTTTTAAGTTCATATTAATAGTTTTCCTATTTTTTTAAACTCAGTTAAGTTAAAAGTTATATAGAAACTTACAGTTAACTTATTAACTTCACTTAAGTTGGTTGTTTTTTTTAATTCATAAATAGCCAGTAATTTGGTTTAAAATAATAAAAAGTAAATGTTTATGCAATATGCACACCTAATTAATAATAATTTTATTACATCTATTATTTAATTATTTATAAATTAACGTAACTCGTTATTGATTGAGTTATATCAATAAATATCAGTTGAGAATTAAATAAGTGAAAATAAAATTTTAAAAAGTTGAAATTAACTTAACTTTAACTTTTTAACTAGTTTATGCCCAGGATTGATAAATAATAATGAATTGGTTTTATTTGTATAATAACAGTAAATTAATTTCAATTGAAAACTTGATTTTTTATTTTTTCATTGCCAAATTTTTTATGCCTTCTGCAAAAAAGTTTCACTTCATCTGCGCTTACCATTGCGACACACACAATTTTTTTTATATTGAAGTGAATATGAATTGTTATAATTAAAGGTAGCTGGTAGGTAGTTATATAATTATATTTTCTTGGTCTTGAACAAAAATGTATTTCCAAAATTAGTCCTGTCTACAGGTGCAATGTGTTTGTTGAAAAAAACACAGTATCTATATATTATGTGCACTGATACAATTATTAAATGTATATGTCACCGGCAATATGAATAATTGAGGTATTTTGAAAAATGCCTAGGCATTATGTATACTGCTGACCCATTTTAGGTAATGTAAATAAAACATAGGATTTTCAATATTATTTTATTTATAACCTATAGGTATTTTATGAAATACCTAGGCATTATGTAAAATACCAATTTTTTTTAGGCAAAGTAAAAAAACAATTTATCATAATATGTTATAATATTATATTAAGATTCTTATGATTATAATATATTATTACTCATATTACAAAATCTAATCTTTATCTACTATTATATTTTTATACGTAGGTATTGCTATATTATTAATATTATTGTTATATTAATTATTAAGTACTATTATTTATACATTTTACTTACTACTATCTACTTATTACTACATGTTGTAGAAAAATGGCATATTGAAGTGTAAAAAAACATTATTTTTAAGGCATATGCACTTTTTATTTTGATACTTGATCATACAAACACATTTTAAAAATCATTGGTTAGTTCCTGTCGACTGTTCCTTTGCGACTGTTCTTAACGCCACTTTTGTGCCCGTTGGAACATTGTAAATTTGTAGTAGCTTTTATTGGCATTCAGTGAACTGACTTCTGGCGTATCACTGCTTCAGAACTTCAGAATTTCAATCTTCATTGCACCAAATCGTGCACACGCGGACACGGTGCGTGCATTCACGATAAACTATAACTTGTAAGTAATGTCGCTGGTATTAGGCGATACCCAATTTTGTTTATTTTTATCATATTTCCTACTCCACCTTGGGCATTATACATAATACTTAGGCAAAGCTTGTATTATGTATATTTCCGAATGATTTTTGGCATTTTATATAATTCCTAGGTTTTTTGTAAAATACTCGATTCTCAATATTGCCGGTAACAAATGTATGTAATAACATCCAAGGTTTATTGAAAGATATTCATAACAAAGCATTAAATTACGGTAGGTTTGTCATTGTATAATAATAAATAGAAAATCGAAATTAATTCTTATACATGTAACCATGTAACCTTTATTTTATCATAGGTACGAAAATATGTAATTTTCTCGAAATGTTGAAATACGAATCAAAATATTGAATATTAATTTTAAAAATCTAAAACCATATAATTATTATTTTTATATTGCATAGTTTACTTACTGCGTTAACGACCTTATATAATAATCGATAATACGACAAAATAATGGAGAAATTTGAGTAATAACATCCACCAATCCCGATTTTAGTGGCAATTCGTATGCACCGAAAATATATTAATAAAAAATGTATTGTTTAATATTTAATAAAATAGTCGTCTAGTTGCTTTTTAAAATTTCATTTTTTTTTATTAGGAACCTCCAACACAGGACATCGATTCGAATGCAATGATGATACCTCCCCAAAATGCTTATCCAGTACCAAGGCCATTTTACCAAAACCCACACAATGCTCCAGCGATGTTCTATCCATCACAACCATGTGTGCCGCGCTTAATGGCACCCCCATATTATATGCCATCACGACCTCGTTTAGCATATCCATCAACATGTAAGTTATTAAGCGTTTTTGTACTATATACCTAAAGCATGATAAAAAAATAATCAAAATATTAAGAGATATGGAATATCTGAATTGTGCTAACTATAGATAGAATAACACGAGTTATCACTAATCACTAATGTCCGGATATAAATGCTCTAAAATCTACAAAAAAAATGCTGTTTCAACGCAATGATGCATTTAAAAGTGACTCACATTTAAGATGTGAGAAAAACAATGGTTTAAATTTCAAAATTGTTTTTGTGTGACACTTCTTATTAAGGTATCTTAACTGCACTAATAGGTAATGAATAATGATACAAATCAAAATGTTGAACTTAAATACCCACAATAAATAAACAGTGTACTCGAAATTAACGCGATCGCGATGTAACTCCAACTGCCTACTGCCAACTGAGCACTGACCAGTTAGTTATTTATTTGAGTTCCAGTATAAGACACCACATTTGATAATCGTTACCGAGTAGATCACTGGTTCCCAATTTGTTTTCCTTTGTGGCTCGGTTTTATTAATTGTAATAAGTCGTGACACTGTAGATGGACAAAAACGTTATTGCATTCATAAATATAGACTGACATTTTTATAGAGATTTTGCAACACAATCTACTCCGATAGTATAAACATGGGTAGGTACACCTGATAGCTTGACCTGAATCCTGAAAAAGTGGTAAAGGTAAATACTTTTGTCTGCATTTCATCTACTTATCACCTTTTATAGGTTACATTCGTAATCTTCATAGATGTTTGCAATTAGTATATTGATAACGAAACCAGTGTTTGCAATAATTGTCATATGTTTTAATTATAATAATTTCTTGAATTTTTCCGCACCTAATATATAGCCTACATTTTAAAGGTATGTAGTTAAAACGGGGACTCTTTATTCAATTATTATTATAAACAATTGAAAACAATTGAAAACGTTACTGTTTCATACAATAGATTCTATTGAATAGAATAAAATATTGTTCGATATTATAAGAAAAATAATAATATATAATTAATATAATATTACTGGATATGATAAAAATTATGATATCTGCTTATTCAAGTATGTTAAATTTTGTTTCCGGCCCTAAAGTACTCATTTTTGATTAATGGTTAATAGACAATGTTTATCTAAAGTATATCTCGACTTAAAATAACTAATAAATAATATTAATATGACCCAATGGAAAAGAATGGGAACCACTGAGTTATACTAACAATAAATCACTGGACCAACATTATACAATACTATAATAGTATAATGTTTATACTTTATAACCAGCCTTATAATTATTTACCTATTCATTTTCAAGAATGGTGTAATGAATCTCATCCTTTTTCATACCTTATATGAATTAAAAAATGTATTTTATTTGCGAAATTCTTTATCATTTATTACTTTTCTTGATTAATATTTGTTTACTGTAAATTAAATATTTATTAATTACTTTGAAAGCATAAATGTGTTCGAATTTAGATTTAACAATCTTTCAGGAGACATATATAGGTATGAGTATGTAACACAACAAACAATAAACATCTATATAGCTTTAAGTTGATGAGTTAACCTATAAGATTTTCAAAATTGAAGTAAGTAAGTTATAGCATGTTGTTCATTTAACAGATCCAAGAGTATTCTATAGACCACATTGGCAGCCTGAGACTCAAAATGTTGATACACAATGAAGAAGCCTAGAGAAACTCCATACCCATTTATTAAATATTTAAATGTATTAAGTTCTTATAATATTTTAACTCTTAAAATCAACTTACTTAAATAAAATAAGTTATAATTTTTGATTTTAATAAAATAATTTCTAAGATATAACATTTTATATTTGTAATTGTCGAACTGTTATAGTTACTAACTAATGGTTCTAAAAAAAAAAAAAACATTTTATGTTTATATAATATACTGCCATAACAATAATTTTAATTTTAAATTGTATAATTATTCGTGTTGTTCAATATCATTACATAAATACTTTGTCAAACTCCATATAAAAAATGGCTAAGTATACGCATTTAAGTATGTAATTTCATGCATACATGTGTGCAATAGTTTATTGAGAGGTATTTACTAAAATACAGTGAAACCTGTCTTATCCGAACACTTGATAAGACGGAAAATGTTACAACCTTAATCGTTGGGAATATTATAAGTTATAACTCTATATTACGGAATTTTCCTTTTTATTCAGCTGTGTGGAAACCTGCCTAAAACAGACATTTTTATTGGTCCCGTGCAAATTCCGCACAAGACAGGTTTTACTGTACATACAAAATTTCGGTACACGTCTAATATGCTATCTACCACACGTTTGATGGTTTAGTACCTATATGATATCTACCGTCAATATTTTATCTACCATCGACTTAGTTGATTTTCATCTTTTCGTAAGCACCTCAGCTTGTGTTACCTTTATTTGAAATACCCAATGTCAAACAAGTTCAAGGATATCGCACAAATTTAAACCATTTTATTTATATTATAATATATATATATTATATTATATTATATTTTATTTATTATTATTTATATATTTATTTTTTATTTTTTTTTTCATTATTAATTGTTACACTTTCCATTTTTATCTATGTACGTAAAAAGGTTATTGTTTTTGCGTATGGAGTAAAATGTTTGGCAACCTTTTTTTGTACATTGATAATAAATTGTTTTCAAAATATTACCTTCCGAATCACGTTTTCGACTATTTTTTAGAACTTTTTTCAACACCACAAATTGTTGGGTTTTTAATTTTTGTACATGTTTGGTCGATTGGTAATAACCGAGTATGTTTAAAAAATGTTCTCACATCTCTTCATTTTGACTTACCTATGTGTTGATATAAATGACACATATAGTTGAAAAACTCATAATAAATAATATATAATACAACACGACTCATAAACACACTCTAAACAGTTATTATATAAAGGTATACCTACTAATCTACCTAACCTACTAAATTACGGTAGACAGCATATTGGACGAGTACCAAAATTTCATATATTAGAGATGTAACATAACATCAATTTTTGATATTGCCATACATCTATTTATTTATTTATTTATTTATATATTTTAAGAATAAATGCCGACCGGCTTTTATAAAATAGTAGATAAGATGGGAATTTTTTTTATTTATTATACTATTACAATTTTAAAAATAAATATTAAATATTCAATGTTTTTTTAACGGTAAATATTAAGATATTAAACGATTTTTATTACATAAAAATCCGTGCTTTTTTAATATTAGGTATCACGATTTTTAATTTTTTTTGGAACTTATTTTGTTTTTTAATTAAAAATAAAAATAAGATTAAGTTAATATTATATTATTAATGTAAGTGAATATGGCCATTCTATATTATCTAATATTTTATAATCTATGTAACTTATGTACCTACCGCTGTATGTATTGGAGTGATATTCATGCTGTTTGTCAATTATAATCGATTACAAATAAATGTACATAGGTTTATAATTTACCTATATATGACGTTTTTATATTGATATAATGTCTACCTATGTGTCAATTATTATTCATTAATCAGTAATCACTATTTACAAATTATATGGGTGGTTGGTTACTATCGGCGAATACCGTCAAACTGGTTAATTTGGTGCAAAAACGAATTTTTTTACGTGCCTCAGTAATATGCTATCATACTTAATTTTTTGATTAAAATGTAAGTAGGTAGTTAGGAGGTTTTTAATTTCGAATTAGTACGATGTATAAGTATATATTATAAAAACGTTAATTTTTGCTCGATGAATGGTTGGATTTGGATTGTGGCATTGTGTAATGTGTATAATAATTGTATGAATACTCTAAGTCTGAAACCACCCTGAGTAACTATGATAAAGAACTAAGGTGATAAGTATCTATAGATTTTGATGTATTCTCTAATTGATAACCGTGAAACTAATAATAGTCTGATAATAGTAAAATAATGTAAATTGGAAGTATCTGATAGTAACAGGGTTGTGTGTTCTATACAGAGGTCGGAGAGTGTTAGATTCCGGATTTCAGTATTTTGTGTTTCTGATGTACATGATTCTATCTATACTGACTCATTACTGATTTAGTTCTATTATGATATGCCTATTAGTAAGTAATTACTTATTAGTACCATTTAATGATAACTTTTTTAGTTTTTTTTTAATGTTTACTAGATACTCGAGTTCTACTTCTACCTACTAACAGTTACACAAGACTGTGAATTATTATTAGCAGACTTTAAAATTTCTAATTTTTGTAGGTATAACTTATACCGTATAAGTACTATTACATACATTTGACATTTATTTGCTTAATACAAACAAATCAGTAACAAAACTTAGTCTTTAAGCCAAAGTGGATATATATGGTGACTCATTAAGAACACTCGATCTAATTTCGTTATTACATTAATAAAAAGATATGTTTTAACAGAAAAATGTTATATGGAATATTATAACATCCGACATTTTGACATAATATATGTCTACTTCGGCTATTTCAGCAAGCTTAAGTTTTGGTCACGAAATTGTACATCACTCGCGGACAATTAAAATCCAGCTTTCATAATGTACTCCCCTGGGCATGACCTTGAGTCTAAGATTTAAAATAATTGAAATACTTAAAAACTTTCTGGTTCCTCGAATCCTAATTCATAAAGGCTAGGTACGGTGGTTAATAAAAATAATATTGTAATCAGAATAAACACCAACATTTGTCGAATATGTCAGGATATTATTCGAGAGCTGCAGTGGACAAATAATAAAGAATTTAGTATACCTCAAAATAAAGTCGTAGATGTTGATAATACATCATAAACTATCATATCCATCATAATTTGATATTAGGTAAGTGATCATAAGTAAAATAAACTGTAAGTGTCTCGCAGCTCGATTTATAAATTGCCCGTTGTGTCACAAATCATAGCCTCGGCACTCGGGCACTGTGGCCGACTGCTAAGTGTCATCGTGTGTAAGAACTCAATAAACAGTCTTGAAAACATTATGATCATTGATACATTGATATCATTTATACACTACTAGTGAGCATATACATTATAGTTATAGTGTGTACCTGCACTACGACGTTCCGTGCGTGATAATTTTCACTCGTTTTGTCAGAGATTTCTATACTCAAATTATCCACATTGTATATAAGGCCGACTTTTAGGGTACTGTAGGCATTGCGTTATAAATTATAATATAACTAATGTGTAGGTACGTCATGCGTTAGTACAATACTATACTTATTTCTTTAAGCAGTGTTGTCATTTTTGTCTATAAATTTTAAAAATAAGAACTAAAAGCCGCCTTTTAATGATTTTCTTCTTTTTGATTAGTGATTGAAATAAGTACTCAATGCTGTGCCGAATTGTAGCACTGCCCCTCACTTCAAATGTCGCCACTTTACACGAATACCTAAAACTTACCTAATATTATTATATTATAATGCTCATATTTCTAAATTGAAGATTTTTAAAAAAATTAATCGTTTAAATGGGTAGATAAAGTTTGGAATATTCAGTTCTAAATCTTCATATATAATTCATATCTATAATTTTATACATTTGCAACATTTGCACACGTTTATCTTTGATTAGTTGTATAATGTATATATTATATATAGGAATAATGGTACAGATTATAAGTACATCATATATATATAATAATATACTTGTACACATCATGATATAGTACTATAATAGTAGTGTACACGATGCTATATTATTTACTTTGTAACGTCACAGAATTTTAGGCTTCCTTAATAATATCATTATTGTTTAATTCCTCATTATTATCATTTATCTTTCTTATTAGGTTATTGACTCATTATGATATTACGAACGCTACGCTCGCTATAAGCAGTCCTATTATTATCAAAATAACACTGTTGTCTGTTATGCAATATTTGTCCTCCGACCCCACACAAAGGAGTGTCCACCACGTCGATATCGCAGCTGGCTGCCCGCCGACACCGTTGCGGCGTCACCGTGGCGACCGCCGGCGAGTGCCGATAGGGTGCAACCTGTCTCCCAATATTTTATAATAATGTACAGAAGTTCTCGACTTGACGACACTGACCTGCCCTCTCCATCACGGTTTCCATAACAACGGCCTATGACCGGACACCGTTCCAGACCAACAACGACGATCCACGATTTTTCCACGATCGCTGACTCCGGGATCCTTCTTCCCAGTCACGTCTCCCGGACTTATACTTTTCTCCACACCAACCACGTGGATCTGTGGAAGTTGTTCGCCATTCAAATTGTTTTTCGTCCGTTCATGTTTTATTTTCTTTTTCCGACGAACACCGACGTCAACAGCGTGGGCCCGTGGCGGGCGAAGATACCAACCAACATCAACAACCAGCTCAACATGTCGTCGTCGTCGTAATTGTAATGTAACTCTCCTTTGGTCCCCCATTATTCAAATGTATTAAATTCCGTTTTGTTTTTCTTATTTTTTTCCTCTATTTCTCCGGTTAATCTCTCTTAATATATTCACATATAATATAATATGGCAAAACATCATTTTTGGATTGTCGTAAAGACAAACATAAGATGCTCTAGGCACACTTCAACTAGTAACCCCGTGATCAAAGTTACGAAATTCATAATCTTTCGATCCTGTAGAGCCACGTTTTGTCATATAATTATTTGAGTTTGTCTATTAATGAAAAAATTAGCCGTGATGTGACAAAACGTATAATCCTTTTTTCCGGTACTTGACATGTAAAAATATAACAAAATCTCATTATTACTTCAAAAATCCTATCTTATTATTTCATAATATTAAGTAGCGTCACCTTTCTTCTCTATATCAATTAAAATAAATCTTGTGGTTTTCATTAACCCACGCGTGTAATCTAATCCTACGAGTTCCACCGACTTAAACATCCAGATTTACACGCGGTGCGGCTCGTAGGTCATAAATTGAGTGTTCCCCTCAATTTGTGGGTGGTTTTTGAGTCGTAAAAACTCAGAATCTCACAACTTATATTTGACGTAAAAATTCTTAAAAACATGTAGGAGGGGGCTTAATGTTATTAAAACAAATAAAAAAATTATTAACCCATTGCCATTATAATATTGTAACATTTAAATTTAAATTATATTATAATAGTAAGCCTATTACAAATATTATTTTGCTACCCAACATAATAACATAATTAAATTATTTTATTCCAAACGCTTATCAATTATTATTATTACATTACAACATACATGTAATTATAATAATATTTTAATTATGTTACAGTAAACATATTTTTTATCAATATTATTAGGCAATCAGTACAAGTACTACATGTCTATATAACAAAATTATAATTATTAAAATATTATGTATAATTATGTATATTGTAATTACACAATTATAATATTCATACAAACGCGGCATAATAGTAAATTCATAACATATGATTACGGAAATTCTATCTAAGCTTTGTCGAAGGGTTCCAGCCAATTGTCCCAATAACCAGCAAATCGAAGAGGATCAGCTTCGGGATCAGTGATCGGTGTAGGTGGTTGCTTTGTCATTTCCCTTTTGAACCGTTCCAGCATTTGGATCGTCACCTCCAGCGTCTGGGGGTTCTGTTCGGCCACATTTCGATACTCGCAGGGGTCTTGGAGAGTGTCAAAAAGACAGTATCCGTCAAAACATTCATACCGTTGGTCGGGTTTTGGGTTGGATACGCGCTCTGGACACGTTTGGCCGTCGACTTTGGCCTGTGAACGTACAACGTAAAACATGTCCCGAGCCGTCGACGAGTTCATGCAACCGTCTCCGGCCAAACAGTTGATTTCCGATAGACGTGAACCGACAGCACTTGCCACCACACCGGACATATTATACTCCGGTCCTTCGTTACCAGGATCCCCGCCGTACTTGAGATTAAAAACCATGTTACTTGTACGGTTACCTGTCAGAACACGTGACGAGCGAGTTGTTAATGATTAATTAAGGTGACCGGTTATGTTCGTGTAAAATCTAATCACAGTATTTGTGTCTGTGCATATTTATGAGTTATACCAAGGCGTAATTACAGTGCAAGTTAGAAGCGTGACAAAAGTTAGGTTTAGTGCTTAAAAGTGCATACAATTTACATACATAGAAATGTTCAAAAATTGATTGAACTTTGCAACGATACTAATGTATACTAACGATACTATCTAGAAAATTAAAAGTTGAACATGCATCGTATTAACTAGGTATCTACAGCACTAAAGTATAAATATTTTTTTTACTTTTCACAACTTTCCATTGGTTGAAAATTAAGGCTTCCTCTCCACTTTTCTCATCTATATTGATTAAAACATTTGATCTTGCTTGTTCTAAAGTATCAGTTAAGCTTTTCCACTGATCGACACCATCAATTTTACCTAAGTCTTCAAAATTCCCACCTAAAAATAAATCATTTGTTCATAAAAATCGGAGATTTTTTGGAGGAACAATACTCAAATTTTTTCTAGATGAAATGAAACAAAATTCGAAGAACTTAAATAGTTCGAGAGTTGAACACGTGAGTGAAGCACGATTGTACCATATAGACTAATATAAACTTAGATAAGTGGGGTTGATTTAGTGGGGCTAGAGGTAGCGATTTATAGATAATTATTATAATTATTGATGAGCATTGTTCCTCTAAAGCTCGCAAAAAAATAATGTATAGGAAAACTGTCAATATTTATTGTTTTGTAAATAGTGGATAAACATAATTACTTTATATTTTGTGACTAATTTTTAATGATATCATAATGCAAAAAAAAAGGATAACGATAACACTATATAATTATAGAATACGATAACATATTTATGACGGGTGGTCAATGTAAGGTAAGCTCCGACGCGTTTTGTAGGTGGAACAGTCAAATAGATTTTGTAGGGGGGGGACATTAGCACCCGGTCGAAAATTTTTGAATACGTCTAACATCTCTGACTTTGAAGGTAGTTAATTATTGTAAAAACTTGTATCTAGTTGCGAGGTCAAAAGTAAAAATGTTCATAGAAGTCCGGAACAAAAAACAAAATAACCGAAAATCAGTAATTTGTACTCAAAACCAGTTTTCTCAAAATCTATTTTTTTTTATTGTTCAGACTGTAGAGACTTGACATTTTTACCAAATGTTCACATTAGAATTTGCCTACTACACACAGCATAATTTTCTAAATATTTTGAATAAATATCAAATAAATATTTTTAATTTATTATTTTTAATTTTCGATCAATTTATGAAGTTATAACTAATATCTATGTTTTCTTATGTTTCATAAATTGTTTGTTCCTTGATTAAATATAAAAAGTCACAGTTTTTTTAACGCACATTTTTTAAATTGGGGCTTATACGTTTTAACGAAACTCACTAAGATCAGAACAATTTGGCAATTATTTTGTAGTATAAAACTCATAAACATTTTAATTTTATCACCTTGGATTTGATAATTTGATACAAGATTCCTCATAAGCTTATGTACTGGAAATGATAAAAAAGTTAAGCGTCAAGTTGACGAAATACCTTTTAGTCCACTGTCTCTTCATTCTTAATTGCATGTCATTATTCTTATTATTTTATAAATTTAGCTTATTGTTCAGTGTCTACTGTGAGAGGATTGAATAAAAAAAAAGTGTATTCACAAAGATTATTTATGAGCGATTGCAGTCAAAGCAAAAAAAAACTCTTCAATACGAAATTTGTAAATTATTTTGTAGTTAACAATTAATACGAATTTATAGTTGCCCAAAAATCTTATAAATATATAAGCACTATATTATTTTATAGACGTTTGATATTTGATGGCCAAATTTTGACGAAATTATGAACCTATTTAATCGAAGAATTGTGAATTTATTAATTTTTTTGTGGTTCAAAAATATTATTCATGATAACTTTTACGTATAGGTATTATTACATTTTACCATACATAATTACATTGACAAAAATGTATATTCATTTTAGATGCTGCCTATTAATACCACGAACCTCTTCACACTGTTCCACGGTAAGTTGGTATTGAGTATTGACTCCACTATATTAATAATAACAATTGTATGATACACTATACACATATGATATTAAACTGCTACCGAAAATAATTAAATAGTAGTATTATAGTAAATGCAATGTTTTCTTAAATATTAATTTAATTTTTAATAAAATAAATTAACATGATAAAGATACAAATATAAATATATCATAAAATGTACTTTGTAATATAGACTGACAGTCTTCGCCCAAAATCGTTTTTCGTATGGAATGGTGTATCTATAATTGAATTAAAATTTAACACATCCATCATAGTGGAGAGAAGTAGGTCCACTTGACACCCATTGTATACAGCCGAACAGTTATACATACTGGTTCGATTTTTTTATTTTATATAAAATATACAATATAATATAATAAATGCCAAATGGTTTTCTAGGTTCTGCGTATCTAGGTCAGGGAACTTCTATAAAAACGATATACAGCCGAACAATTACCCAGTCATATCATTATTGATTTCTGGAAAAACATTTTGATTACATAATACACAAATGCATACATTCATAAACATTTTTCTCCTATATTAGAACTACCTCCATCGGTAACAAGAGAAGAACATTTTGTTGAAATTTTCATTTCCTAGTCTTTACATATGCTGTTTTTAAACGGTATGTTTTCACCAGGGTACACGAATTTAAGACATACCTATATATTATTAAACCTATAACTTAACCAATAATAATATCCAATTAGATGGTAATAAATGTTATGTAATCGATTAATGATGTACACCATTTATGATGACTGATGATAAAATGAAACTGAAAAAAAAATAATATTAAATAAAACAATAATAAATATGACAACAAGAATAGGCGACAATTGAAAAATTCAAAATTTTCACGGTTTTTAGATACTGACCAAATTGGTTTTTAGAACTGTCCATTTTAATTTAGAACCACCCGTTAGCACAAGTTCTAGACCAAGTTGGTACTACAGACTTAAGACTTTGCACTTATTTTAATTGTTATTTTATGGTTACACGTGTAACTAGTACTATCCACTAGTAGCTATGTTAAAATTCTGTTAGGAAATCGTAATAATGATAATATTATATGACAAATATATAGTTTATTTTTAAGAGTGAAAGTCGCTCTACTACCTACATAGTAGCTATAGTTTTCAAAAGTGTACCTTGTTATTCAGAATAAGGTTCCTATACTTAAACCTTATACCACTATAATGAATATTTTAAAGGGAAATTGTACATTCTCCCGAATCTGTAATAACTTCGTTTTTACATTATTTTTGTATTATTACGATTTAATGTTTGTAATAATATAAACTTACACATTTTTAAAATGTAATATACGTTTGAATTTCATTTAAATAAACTATAAAGTAAATTATAGTAAATAATAATAATAAGAAAAAAAATTTCAAATTAAATTAACATTTATAAAAATACCTAAACATAATGTCCCTGGATAGTTGACTAGTTTTAATATCCAGGAGGGTTAATTTTTAAATTTGAATTAAATCATTAATTATTATATTATAAGTAATGAAAAACGATTCTGAGCTGCCTGTCAGCCTATACGTATGTCTACAAAATGATTCGTAATTTTTGGTTAATGTTATCTACTTGTTCATTATATTGTTCTTTTTTATTTTGGGTCTTGGTGGATCAGCCTGTTTTGCAATAGAAATAAAATAATTTACAACAATATGAGGGTTGATATTTATTATGAATTTGTATTTTATGGTACAGAAAAAACACGGGTCTGTAGAAATTGTCATTAAAATGTGGGTGCTTATTAAATGTATTGAGTGTCAAATACCTAAGAATAATAATTAATTAATTAATGCTCAAATGCCCAATGGAAATTCTGAGGACATAAACATGCGATACTAAAATATTGCAAATAAGTATAGGTATACCTACTGGCTACTGTACAATAACGTAAGGGAAATTTTCATTCACTATGTATTATATTATAAAAGCTATGTCACCTAACTAGTCGAATAATAAATATAATAATATTGGAATGTCATCGGAATATAAAAACTATGGTACATAAAGTCATTGATAAGTCTAAAAATAATAAAAAGTTTGATTTAGTGTTACCTATAGATGTTAATGATTACGAATTCTGACTATGTATAAATTATATATAATATAATATTGATATAGGTAAGTACTGTTGTTTAAATGTCACGCATACTTATAAGTTGTAATAGGTAGGTATTATTTTTTGTTTTAGAAAAAAGTATTTAACCTCTTACGTGAATGGTTGTATACATATATATAATTTTGTCAAGGTATTTTGTGTGGTTAACGCACTAACTATAAATAAAGATATATAGATCTAAAGACGTAAAGTGATAAATTAAATATGCAAGACATAATGATTTAACAAAATGGAATTTTTAAAATAAAAAAGTATTTCACTCGTAAATTGAATATTATATATATATTATGATTTGTATTACCTCTATACCTATACTTTTTTCTATATTCTATACAATACCCATGTGTCGCGACATCGAGTTATTTAGTAAGCATACCTATGTAGTATGTATAAATGGTTAAAGCCAATCCTTAACTTTATGTCATTATTTACCCTCGTAAACTTCACATTCGCAAAATAGTCGATAACATTATTTAACTTTAATTACCTGCAGCTGTATATAAAGTGGGTAACCAATCAGTAATATGAAATAAGTTTTTAGAAACGATGTTTTTTTGTTTCAACCATGGACTCCATATCGCAGCCACCCCACGAACTCCGCCTTCGTGTACTGATCCCTTTTTCTAGATTGAATAAAATATTAAACCTTTTTATAATCAATTGACAAAATATTATTTTGCTTGATTTTCATATTATTATTTTGAAATTTCCGATTCCGCCACTTATATACCTATTTACAATCACCAGTTATGTTCTTGATCTGATCAAAATTTCCCAGAATCTGCTTTACAAGATAAAACAACACTCAAAAAACGGTTCGACTGGAACCACGACACATGCAGTAAATAATATTTTAATGAACTTCACAAAATAAATCATACCCCTCTCAAAGGCCAATTTGATCCAAAGTTTTCATGGCCCCATAACGGATCATCCGTCGGCGCACCGTTGTCTGACATAAATACCACAATAGAATCTTTTAGCATTTCATTTTCGTGTAGTGATTCGATTATTTTTCCTACAGAGTCGTCCAACGAAGTCAACATTCCTGAAATTTGTTCACCATTTATTTCATAATAATTGTTCGTATTTCCAAACGAGAAAATATGGAGCATAATTTCATCAACACCGAGATAGGGTATTATACGAAATTAATTGGTAGAGTGGAGATGCGTGTTCAAATATTCCAGATTCCAAATAACAAATTTACCAATAGTTTCTTTTCGTGATTTTGGCAACTGAGACTGGTTTGGGACTGGTGTCCTAAAATTGGACCAAAATTGTTCTCATAATGAAACGGTAAACCATAAAAACTAATCGAAACATTGTTTTCTCATTAATTAATGTTTTTTACTCGCTTATTTGTTTTAGGTCTGATACACAGAAATATCTAGGTTAGATAACTCAGTGTATGTGAATATAAAATTAAAAATATTTACAACCTGTTTGGACCAATAGCGTAGTTGTAATCATTTTTTTTTTTTTGGTGGGGAGGAGGCAAAATATTGAATTGAAAATGAACAGTGGCATGTCTAACTAGTGTGCTTCAAGAAAATTTTTAGCGATTTTCAGATGATGACTTGCTCAAGTAGATAATTAAATTAAATAAAAACAACTGTAAAACCTATATCTTTCAATAAAAATTCAGCAATAATACATTTTTTTTTACATATATAGGTAGATAACATACGACACAAGTAATCATTTTTTGTAGATAGCATCAGACACGTATAACTTACTTTACTGTATGATAAAGTAAATTAAGTTGAACAAAAAAGAAAATTGTCAACTTTAAATAGTTTGTTTTCTAATATAAAAATATTATTCTCACCTGCATAAAGCCTTCTGTTTTCGTTTTCAATATAACTGAATGCCTCGTCGTTGTAGGTTTTGTTTGAGACTTCCAAATGATTTGGGCCCTTATTTCCAGAATGAACGGCCAAATGACTTACCATTAAAAACATTTTCGTGTTTTTCTGTTTACTTGATTCTATGATTTTAAGAGCTTCTTCTGTGAAAACATCAGTTGCGTACCGATCCCGGTCCATCTCACTTCCTGCCCTTTCGAATCCACGTCTGGCATCGATACCGTTCATTGTGTGCTATTTTATTATTAATGACTAAAGTATAATATTATTGAACGTAAACAAATTTCATAGGTACTTATTATCTTATAAACCGTAGAAAAATTTTGCTTACTGTAGCGTGTGTGCTGTTTCTATAACTAATATATCCGTTCCAGAAGCCGAAATGACTGTCAAATCCCCTTTGTGTGGGAGTGAAACGTTTTTGGTAACAGCCCAAGTGCCATTTTCCCACCAAGTGTGTTGAATAGCCCAACCCTTTCAGATACTTATAATTAATCAAAAAACATTTCAATTAACGACGACTGTACTAAAACAAATGATTTAATAACAAATGTATACAATCAAGTTTACTTGAGGTAAAATTGTTTCATTCGTTGGCAGTGCTTTAGCCTGACCAGCAGCAATGGGTGGACCTTGAAAGCCTATCAAGTGTAAACGTATAAATTAGTGTTTTGATGTGTAAAAACACTCAATAATAATATTTATAGGCAGGTACTTTATAATATATTAATGTATTTTGAATCGTTATCCAGTATATTATTTGGAACATAGAGAGCTTACCAATTGCAGTTAAAATTACCTTTTCATATACAAATAGGCAATATCGCGCTAGGTTATTTTCATGACCAATCGTACGAAATAACAACCAAATTACATTAATTTTATTCAACAGTACATATCATTATTTTACATAATAAAATATAAATAATTTAATATACATGAATATATAATTACAATTAAATCACTATTATAAATTATAATATTATTTTACATTTCAGTTTATTTTTATAAAAATGTATATTAAAAAAATTATTTAAAGTAAAAATATAAGTAAATAGAATTTTTTCAGATTCAATAAAAAATTTTGTTCGTCAATTTTATGAATTAACAACGAATATCAAAAATAGTTAGTACCATTTGTAAATTTTAATCTACCTAATGATATACATGAAAATTTAATTAAAATATATTAAATCACGCACTATTTCAACTTTATTTTAAGTTAATAATAATATTAACTGATTTTAAAAATTTTTTGATAGTAATTTTTCTGGATTTGTGTTCTTTCATAATAGATTTAACTACTATTTTAGATTTTGACGGAACAATTTCTTTTGATTTATTGTGTCTGTATATACGATAATAAGTCAAAATTATGCTTCGATTTTCAACTTCTTTATATTTTACGATGGGAAAGTGAATCTAGTTGGTGTGTTCTGAAGGTCAAAATTTAAAACTCCCACTAGTTTAGCATCGTGAAAAACTACAAAATTAAGATAGAACGGTAATTTTTACTCAAAATCTATTTTGGTTTTTGATGTAGCTCTAAAAAAATTAACTTTAGATACATGACAAATTCACTGAATGTGTTAGCAATTTCTATGAACCGTAAAATTTTATCGTTGATCTTTTTAAAGGCATATCAAAATTTCAAATTTCATTAGTTTTTTAAGTACTGAAGATAAAAAATTTTTCGCTCGAATCTTGAAACTGTAATACAACGTTTCACATAAGATGTTATTAGTGAAAATTGAAAAAAAAATTGAGCGTAAATCCACATTAATTTTTTATGAGTTACTGAAGTTTGAATTTTGATAAAAATTGTAAAAAAATTTCTTTTTATGCCTAACATTTAAATATTTAGTACAAGTTTCTTCAGAAGTTTGTCTACCTTTTTCGAAAAAAAAGACTGATTCAATTTTAAAAAGCGTTTTTTGTTTTTTCTAAAAATATCAATAAAATGTATTCGTTGGGTCAAAAAAGCTCTTCACACTATCAAAATATCAGTTAAAAAATACATAGGGAAAATTGTTAAGCTAAGCATTAAAGTTCAAACTTTAACAAAATTATGAAATTGAAAATTTACAAATTATTTTACAGTTAAAAATGTATACAATTTTTAATTTTTATAGCTAAGGATTGAAAATTTCAAACGAGATTCTTCATAAGTAGTTCATACAGTAACTTAAAATTTAAAAAAATATGTAATTATGGTTTTTATAATAGTTTTAAGTTCAAATTTGGACGAAATTAGATATTTGAATTAAGAATAACAATTTTAGTTTAACAAATATTAATTTTTTTTGTCAGTTATTCTTATACTTTCCTCTACTAGGTTGGACATTAACAAGTTAATAATTTAAAGTTAAGTTACTTTTAACCAAATTAATGAACGAATTATTTTTTCCCATGTTATTCAGTACTATACGAGTTTAAAAAAAATAAAGGTAATTATTAACTTCAATCTTAACTTAAATTTTTCCATATCAACTTAACCTAACGAATCAAAAAAAATTAAGTAACTTGCCAAGCCTTGTCAGTTTTTACCTTAACAATCAACATGGCTGAGACATTATTTATTTACGCATACCTACCTGTATTTCTATGGAAAAGAAATAAATCTAGGTTTTATTACTTATAAGCAGGGTTCGGGACTTATAGCACTTAAAAACACAATAATAAGCGCTAAAATATGCACTTAAAACCCCTAAAATATGCATAAAAAATTTAAAAATATGCATTTAATATATTTATTATTTTATTAATAATTATTAAATACAATAAGTGTACTTAATATAAAAATTTTAAAAAAATCAACTGATTGTTAACTTGTTTCTTAAATTTAAGAGTTTTTTTAATTTTATTCGTCAACTATATAATGATGTGAAAAATTAAAAATTAAATTTTTCATTTAAATCAATAAATAAATAATTTTACATTTACCGGGAATACCTTTAATTTCAAAGAACGTTTAATAACTGCAATATATTAAAATTATCGTATCGCTCGTATCGCAACGTATTATATAATATGTATAATGTAACGATACAGGCAATCAGGCCATCATAATTTTTTCAAACCACGAAAATTATAAGAAGTTGTGGGTTGTATATAGCAAATAGGTACATAAGACTGCGAGTAAGCTGCATTACTATTTTCTTTTTTAGATAAGGTTGAATTTGTGAAGTTGAAATTTTGAAAATTTTTCTAAAATATGCAAATTAAGCACAATATTGTAAAAATAAGCAGTTTCCGGCAAATTTTATGAAATATGCAAAAATATGCACATTCAAATTTTAGATTTGGTTTCATGGTATAGAGAAATGAATTTATTTCGCACTCTGCTACATTTTACAATAAATAAAAAAAGTATGCTGTTGCTATAAGTCCCGAACCTTGCTTATAAGAGATCAAATGAACCTACCATAGCGAATCGGGTATTTGCCGGTAAGCAAAGCAGCCCTCGATGGAGTACAAGTAGGCAGGACATAATGACGATTTAATATCGCACCGTGATAAGCAAGTGCATCGATATTCGGCGTGGGTATCTGTATAGATCCATGAAATCCAACATCATTCCAACCCTGTGTAAATACATTTAGTCAGCAGATCAAAAGCTTAACACTATAAACTGATAACATAAAATTATTATTGCATGTTTGTATATATTTTAATTCATAAGTAACTCGTGCACAGTTACATATACATCGTGTTTTTAATAACGTATCTGTTACGGGCAATGTACACATTGCCCGGTCAATGTAAACCATGCATTTTTTTTTAACCAACTTATATTATTTTTTATTATTATTATAAATTATAATTATCACTTGTTTATAGTATGGATTTTTTTTTTTAACAATCATTATTAATTTTATTTTTGTATCATAATATTATGAATATTTTGATGGGCTAACAAAAAATATTATAATTATATTTTTATAATAAATTATAATTTTATTTTTACCTATTTATTTTCACACGATTTCGAAGTATGGCATTTTGAGTTACATTGTCTGCTTTTCTACACTCGATTCTTAAATAGGCAGTACGATAAGTAACAAAAATAAGTTTATACACAGTGTTTCAAAAATGCATAGTTTATTGTATTATGATACATGAATAAAATTAATAAGGATTGTTTGAAAAAAAATCAATTCTATAAAAAGGTTATACCTAACTATAATTTATAATAATAATAAAAAGTAATATTAGTTGGTCAAAAAAAATTCGTGATTTACATTGACCGGGCAGGACCTAATTAATAATCAGTTATGACAGCAATGTTTGTTTTTAATATAATATACTGTTTTACACTTTGAGTTCCGTGTGTATCAAAATAAATACACACATAAAAAACGTACGTACCTAGAATGTTTTTTTCCCCCTAGTAAAATATAATTGAGTAACATTAAAAAAAATGTCCCGACCAGAATGGTCAATTTTGTCATTTTTGGTGGAGCACTCACTTTTTAGCGTTGTAAAATATAATTAAGACATACATAATACACCAGTCTGAGAGTGGGTATAATGATGAGTGAAGAAGCCGAGTGTGTATGAAAACACAATACATTTCAATTAGCTATAACTTCCAAACTAAGAGTGCCAAATTCTGATTTTATCATAGTTTTCTTTTAATTCAGAATGCATTACGTTTAAAAAAAAATTGCAATAAAAAGGGTGTCTGGTAAAATAGAAAATTTCTCATAAACTTAATATTATAATACTAACCAGATCATCGGCAACGATGAGAACAATATGCGGTTGTTTTTTGAGCTCTCTTAGCAAAACGTTATCGGTTATCTGCAAGTTCACGATTAATATCAATATGCCAGTTATACGGATATTAGCCAAGTCCATGATGATCCGTGCTTCGTTGAGTGATTTATTTTAATGATCTATGAGCAAGTATCTGTGTTATGCAGTTTGGCGACACATTGAGAGAAAATAAAAAACAACTCGTTGATTTGACCTAAATTTTTTTTATAATTTAGGTCAAATACCTACGTAATATTACAAAATATCGCATTGTTAGATAACTTATATTAACGATCATAAATTATTTGATACTGGATACAAACAACTCAAGGCTATGTTACCTCATAACAATTATAATAACTTAACTAATAAGTTGAAAAATGCTGAAAAAAATTGATTTTTTTGGTACAAATTGTTTAGGTCATATTGATAACGGTTATCTCTTAAATTATGTGGTATTATAGTAGTATGTTAGTGTAGTTGAATTATCGTTTGGTACAACCATCTCATGGCTACTTATAATAACAATATTTTTAAATATAAATGTTTGGAAAAGTAAAAATCATGCAAGTCAAGTTACAATTTTAAAGACACTTCACAGTATGAATATTTTCAGTGGTACAATAAACATAAGACGACATATTATGATTTTAATATCTTTATTTAATATGACTTTAATATAATTTAAGATATTCGTACCAAGTTTAACACAATATTATTGTAATATTGTATATTATACCAACTTTATAATAGACTTATTTGATTATAATTTATAAGTGTTGAAAATGAAGAGTTTAAAAATACGCTTTGGTCGGTAAAAAAAAAATGGTATCGTTATTATTTTCCATACTTCAAGATATTTAATTATTGTATCATACACAAATTAAAAAGATTATATGAATATCAACAAACAATTTTTAATTTTACTAATTTTTAATTTTTAAATTTTGCACTAATCTGGTTACATACTAACTACTAACAACGTTTATTAAAAATTAATTCGTTTTATTTTGTTTTATTGGTAATATTATGTTAATATTATTAAAATACAATTTTTCAACATTATTTTTGCCAAAATTAAAAGCATTTTTTTTCGTTTCTTGAAATATACATATACAATGATGATTATTTATATTGTAAATAGTTTAGATTCTGAGAGGAGCGATGAATGTATTGATTTTACAATGATGTTTGTTTTTATATTTATTTTTTATTTAAAATTTTTTTTTTGTCTGTCATAGCAGTAGAAGTGCTTCAATTTTCTTCGATAGCAACTTTTCTGGTAGAAAAGCAGATACAATACAAAACAGTAAATACTAAATATCTCTCATCTATTTTATCGGAATTAAAATCAAGGAATGACTGGTGAAAAATATATTTCTTAAATATATAAATTGTTTACCAACTATCTCAAAATACGACCGAACACATAATGGGCGGCACATAATGATTAAAGTATAACCTTTGTATAATATATTGAAACTAAATTATATTTATCTATACAAAACTAATTGCCTTTTACAATAATGACAATGTTATAGAACTAACTGGTTATCTACTACGCACAACTTGGACTTAGACCCAATTACCAAATAATTCGTGTATGATCATTGTAATATACGTGGTGTTTAGATTAGAGCGACGGTGCACATTTAAGACCCACTATTTATTCTTATGTGCTGTTTATTTTCTACCTAGATCTGATATAAGCTTATACAGCTCACATATAACTATATGAGAATCATATGTGTAACTATTGATGTTTTTAATACATATTATATTTAAATTCTTTACCTGCTTTCTAAAACTGTTAACAACTACTAGCTTGTAATATGTGTGATAAATGTATCATATTAGTTATTAAGTAAATATTAGTCTCTCTCTATACCTAATAATATAATAATATACTAATAATGGTTTTAATACATATCAAACAAGTATAGGTACCTACTACCTACCTATATTAAATTGTTCAACAACTAAAATCTTGTATACAAATTGTATCATATTAATGAATCTATATTGTAATTGGGCAACCGTTCGTCTAAATAAACAAATAGTTTGTGATAAATAATTATAAAAAAAGGTTCCACCACTTATATAGGGATATTTCAAAGAAAATCAAGTATTTTATAACATTTGATCATAATAATATCACAGTGGTTGGGTTTTTAAATTAAAATCTTTATTGATTATAATTTCATAATATATAATAATCGTAAATAACGCAACTTGAGATTTAACAATATAATAATTCCAAAAGTTGTTCCTTTGTACAAAATATAAATCCTAATTATTCAACCGATTGACACCAAATTTTCACTACAAGTTGTTGCTGGTAGCCGGTAGTTAATACTAATATTTTGTAACTTTGATAACATTTTATTACAAAGGAAAACATTTGTACAAAATTGTAGTTGATTTTTCGATTAAAATTGATTCAATTTAATTGATTGTAATAATAGGTAGGTACCTAGCCACCTAGGTAATGAATGAATATGATACGGAGTCTTTAATGAGGGTATGTTTTATATTTTACGTACCTTATAGGTAATTTATGCCTGATATAATAATTTCTAGGAAATCATACTTTTTAAGAATGACAATTAATTAACGAAGGCATTATAAATGTTACTTTAAGTATTTTTAATGTTGGTCATTTTGGCACCTAACGCACCAAAATATCGTGAAGATAAATAAATACAATTTAATGCACTCTACCTATTAATAATTTCGAACAAACAAAATAAATTTAAAATTAAGAGTATCATACAAACATGACTTAGAATAAAATTCAATACGCAAATATATAAATATATAATACTTACTGTATTATTAGGGTATTTGCTTCTAAAGTTAGGTAAAGTTGTACCGTAGTTGTATTGTATACGCCAGTTTTTATCAGTTTTTATGAAAATGTAGTTTATTGAAAAAAGACAAAATAATTGAAAAAATAGACAATATTAAATTTAAGGTAGAAAGGCAACAATATATCGAAAATGTACGTCATACTTTATTTTGTTAAAATATATTATATGAAATGTATTTATCGATATTGATGGATGGCCGAAAATATCACATAATAAGTATATAGACTTACGTTTTATGTAGATAATCTATTAGATTTTTTAAAGATAATAATTTTGATTTTTGATCATGGCAATATCATTATATAACGTCATTATAATCCTTTAAATTTAAGAAAACTACTTGGAATATAACAAAATTACCTATTAAAAGTATCAACTTGAATAAATTGTATAACTAAAAGTGCTTTGTCCCTAAAATTGAACGATTTTCTTATTTTGTTGTAATTTAGTAACGAATAAAAAGAAGACACTTGGAATTTTGATCAAATGTTTATTTTGTATACATCATACATTTTTCATAACTTCTTGACTCATTTAAAATTGTAAACTATCCTGCATAGACATCATTTTAAATTTAAAATGTTTCAAGATTATTTTTTTCTTCGCATATTCATAACATTTTTTGGTTGGATCAGAAAGTTTGAAAAATTAATATAAGGTTCCTCACAAGTTGTTATTAGCAATTAAAAAAATATTAAAAATACATAAATACGAGTTTTTATTAGTATTTAAAGTTCAGTTTAAAAATGATTTTGTAGTTACAAATTTATAAAATTTTCAGTTTCTATAGCAAAAGATTGAAAATGTACAGCAAGGTTTCTAATTAGCAGTCACCTTAAACTGTCGCCTTAAAACCTAGAATTAATTATTCTTATAACATAGACCGATTGGCAGACCGTCTCCCTCCAGAATCGTTTTCGTATATCATTATATACTTCATTGATTTCAAATTTTGCCCCTTAAATTACAATGTACGCAAGTTTCCACCTTTTTAATTTTAATATTACCAAATTTTTATTATTAAAAATATTATTATCTGAACAGTGATTATTTCTTGTATTATTTAATTATTTATACTTTTTTCTTTATTATTATTATTGTTATAAACTTTTCCTGACAAAGTCATCCGACTTATTTTTGTTGCAGTTTTTTTTTTTTGTTAAATTTAATAATTGATAATATCTAAAATTATTTACAACAATTTACATATAGACGTAGAATATAGGATATAATATTAATGAGAAAATAATTATAATAATACTATTTTTAGTTAAAATGCTTTTATTTTTAAATTATTGTTGTTATAATAACTTCACTATCTAAATTTGATAAAATTAAAAAACTTTCAGCTCTAATTGTTTTTGGTGTCATCTGAATAAGTGACGAGATAACTTAAAAGCATGGAGTTGGAACAGGTGGTATTAATTTTCTACGTGCATTATACATATTTATTTTTACCTATGATATGCCATTTGAAGTTAAATTTGTCGAGTATCTTATAGTACTGCTATAACATTCTAGTCCCATATTTAATATTTTAGCTATGAATATAAATAAATAAATAAATAAATAAATATTAATTTTCTTAAATGTAATTACCCGGTTTATCACGAATATCTTCCATCGATTTTATTTTTAAACTACTACTTAGTTCTTGTCTTTCAAGTATTTGGTTTGAAATTGGAAGGCAAGAATTAATGTATCATCATTTGACGAATTTGTCAAAGTAATATTATGTTGCCCCACTTCAACAGTTTTAATAAATTAATTGCAGTTTTTTTATTGTACCTCCATTTAATTTCACCAGACGCGTATTTGATATTTTTGTTATACTTATAGTTGTTAAACAAAACCAATATATTGCCTCTTTGGCCAGTAATTAATTTTATTTCATAGCTGCATTGCGACATATAATGCGGTCGGATATCTTTCGTTCACAAGCGGAAGAACACTACGAATGATTTTGTTCGTCTAAGTATTACTAAGTTACCTACTGTAAATAACATCATTGCAGGGAATTCTCTTTTCTGATATATGAAGATAAAATTATTTTTAAATATTAATAAATGAATCAATCTAACCTTGAATATTTTATAAATTTCGACGTAGGTCTGTAACAGATATCACACAGATAACACTGAATGTAAGAGCCAGGCAATAAAATAAAATTGCCGGAGTTTCCATATACACATTACAGGTAAGAAAATAAAACTGACGGAGTTTATATTGGACCTTTTCATTACCTTTTTATCTAACCAGTATTCTGATTTCTGTAGGAGTTTAGAATCGCCCCATATTATTATACCTTTCTTTTTTTTCTTCCTTATTATCGAGAACCCAAGGAGGAACTGCTGTTGGCATTGCTTCTCCACCTGTCCCATCGTTTATTGTGTACATATACAAATAAATAAGATACCAATTGCACACTATGTTGTGCCCCTCTCCACTACCAAATGGACTTTCCCTATCGCTAGGTATATGTCCACCTTGAAGTGGAGCTCGGGGGGGCATGTACCAGTTGCCCCCAAA